CCGGAATCGCCTTGGCAGGCATCCTTACCAATGGCAGCAGCGCAGACCATGCCGGGTTTAACTTCAGAACCATACCTGAATGAGCTGGAGGCACATCTGCTGCGATCGATGATATCTACGCCGACATATTGCAATTGTCTGGGAATACTACGTGAGCCAGATGAGAGTGTACCCCAACCGGATACTACTGCAGATGCGCCAGAGGGGGGTGTGATGGTAGCCAAACCAATAGCCCTAGTGGTCGAGCTGAATGACAGAGAGGAGGCTAGCTTGATGATGGCAATATCGTTGCTGTAAGTTGATGCGATGTAGCCTTCGTGGGTTTTGAAAGTAGAGACAGAGACGAGAACACCACCAGAGTTCCAGTAGGTGGATCCGGATCGGATTCTCAAAATCGAAGCACTAACCGATTGCAAACAGTGAGCAGCGGTCACAATAATGTTGCTGCTATAGATGGAGCCACCGCATGAGTGGGAACCGGAACGTTGGAGCGATATCTGCCATGGGAATGAACTGATGGTTGTTGGTGTACCACCAACAATACGTCCACTCAAATCGTCGCTAAGCCTGACCATACCTTCGGGTATGGTGCCAGCCAAAGCACAAGCGACAAAAGACAAGACCACTACGAATTTCAACATTGCTCCTTCACAGATCGTTGCAAACAACTGCTGCTGACCAAAATGGTTAGCTTATTTATACCCAACACAATATTTACTGCGAGTATAAGCTCTATAATCAGTAAGTAGATCTCAATATAATTGGTCAGCGATTACACCGCCTTTGAAAAATATATATATTTCATGAGAACATTTGTGAAATAAAAGATAGTAGTAGGACGTGTCTTTTCAGATCGAAATCATCTTTGTTCAATATCCGCCTAGACTTATTGCAAAAATATTAGGAATATGCTGATAGTTATTCTATTAGTGGTAGTAATGTTAGAACGATGAGTTCAGTTATATGGGATGTGGCTGATATTCTAGTAACAGGAACTCGACTGTCAAGTCACAAATCGATGCTTTTAGAATCGAAAACAAAATGAAGACAATATATTTTCATATCGTAAACTATTATTTCTCATGGTTAGATGGAGTTGCTTTCTCACAATCCAGGTGGTGGGTGGGACATCGGTATAAACACCGGGTAGCGAGCGGCAGCACAGCCCCATGCAAAACACCCACGGATCCTGGACCGCAGGTCTTGTGGCGACATCCCTTACCAATGGCAGCAGCGAGAATGCGGTTTAACTCAGAACCATCCGAATGAGCTGGAGGCACATGCTGCGATCGATGATATCTACCCGACAATTGCAATTGTCGAATACTCGTGAGCCAGATGGAGTGCCCTAACCGATACTCTGCAGATGCGCCAGAGGGTGTGATGATGTGTAATAACTGGTGAAACACAATATTTACTGCGAGTATAAGCTCTATAATCAGTAAGTAAAGCTAATTGGTGTTTGACGTTCATTTTTACCAAAATATGTCGTTTCAAGTGTGCGCATCCGTGTGCAGCCGATTTGTGAGATATGATATAAGTTAGTTGACTTGATAGACATACGGCATGGTAAAAACCATTACTTGAACTTTAAACAAAAAATTTTTACTGGAAATTTTATTTTTTTATTTCAGCAAATATAATCAGATTTTGAATTTTTCATTTCTAGATTTCTTGGCTAGATTTGTTGTGTTTTTGCTGATATGACAAGGCCACTTCCAAATGCTTGCTAAAACTTAAGGCTAAACAAGAAAAAACGTTAACCTCGGTTGCGCCGAAGCTATAATACCCTTCACAAATACAAAGGCCTCTTACAAGAACTTGATTCTAAACGTTCAATTTGTATGGCAGCTATATGATATAGTGATCTGATCTGACCAATTTCTGTGGAGAATAATTTGTTGCCTTAAGCAATAACTCGTGCCTAATTTCGTGAAGATACCTCGTCAAATAAAAACATTTTCCATGCAAGCACTTTACTCCGATCGTTCAGTTAATATGGCAGCTATATGCTATAGTCATCCGATCTATACAATTTCTTCGGAGATTAGATTAATGCTTTAAATAATAATACACGCCAAATTTCATGAAGATACCTCGTCAAATGAAAGAGTTTTCCATACAAACACTTGATTCCGATTGTTCAGTTTGTATGGCAGCTATATGCTATAGTGGTCCGATATCGGCCGTTCCGACATATGAGCAGCTTCTTAGTAAGAAAAAGACTTGTTCAAAATTTCAGATCGATATCTCAAAAACTGAGGGACTAGTTCGCGTATATACAGACGGACGGACGGACAGACGGACATGGCTAAATCAACTCAGCTCGTCACGGTGATCATTTATATATATACTTTAAATGGTCTCCGTCGTTTCCTTCTGGGTGTAACAAACTTCGTGGCAAACTTAATATACCCTGTTCAGGGTATAAAAATGAAAATCCGTTGCTTACGCTGAATCTATAATAACCTTCACAAATAAAACGTTTCTGTACAACAACTTGATTTTGATCGGTCAGCTTGTTTGGTAGCTATGTACTATAATGGTCCGTTGTGATCAATTTGTGCGGATATATAGTGATCCGATCTAAACAAACTGGTCGGAGATTGTACCGTTTTCTTGGACAATAATTCATGCCAACTATTTTGGAAAAGTTTCTTCTATGAAACTTGTGTATTGACAACTCTAGTACTTCGCAAATATTTTTAATGTCATAACTGCACATCTTTAAAAATTGGGGGAGGTCTTCCTTGGTTATGTCGGTTATAAGTTCTTCAACATTTTTAAATTGTCAATTATCATTATAAATAAGGCGGCAAGGATCCGTTAGATTTTTTTAATTTAATAAACTGCTGGTGAGTATGCCGTCCACACGAGTAAGCTTATTGAATTCGTTGCCATCGAATCTTTAGTTGGTCTACTTAAATGAAATGCCGCATTGTCCTGCTTCGGAGAAGCGCTATGTAGTCATGGCTGTTCATTCGGCTAGAATAAAACTGCAGTCTAAACTTTGGCGTGGAGGAATTCGAACCGAAACTTGGAGTCAAAATTAAAGCCAGTATCGATTGAAATCATCTGGGCTATCAAGACTAAACTTCTTTTCATCCGAAAAGATTATATGAAAGTAAACATGTACATTACAAGCTTTGTTAATTTTATGAAATAGAAATTGATTGAGATATTGCGCTTGGAAAAATCCATACACGCAATCTTGAGGTGAGGTAGTAGATGTGGTACTTGATTAATTTTATACTCTCTAACGTTCACACTTCGTTTTAAGGTTCATCATATGGTTTGGTGAGACGCTTTAATGTTTGTAAGGCTAGAAAGTTTGAAACAACTCCATATAGAACTTCTCGCGGCTCTACATTTTTTTCATCCACGGTACGGTGATAGTTTTCTTTTGCGTCTACTGTTTAATTTTTTCAAATAAATTAATACTAATCGGTGACTGCGTCCAATTTTTGATGCGACGGCGTTTACTCTCAAGCCTTCGCTTTTCAGGCTAGAAATCTTTTCTTTCTAGAAATCTGTTAACGTCCCTTAGGCATTTTGAATGAATTATTATTTATGATTTTTAATCCAAAATCTCATAAAAATCGGCAGAACAAAGAAAAGTAGTAGCGGTATTATACTTTTGCAACACGTATTTTATGCATTTTCTTTTCCTAATGTTTAAAGATGTACAGGTCTGATATTAAAAATATTTTCGAAGTGCTAGTAGTATCAATGCACAAGTTTCATAGAAGAAACTCTCTTCAAAATACTTACCTGTTAGATTTGATGAGTCTTATAATTTTGCAACAGAGTGTATAGTATACTATAGAGGTCCGTATAAGAACTTGATTTTGATCATTCAGTTTGTATAGCAGCTATATATTATAGTGGTCCGATATAAACCAATTGGTCAGCGATTACACCGCTGCCTTGAAAAATAATACATGCCGTATTTCATGAAGACATTTTGTGAAATAAAAGATAGTAGTAGGACGTGTCTTAAATTTCAGATCGGAAATCACTTTGTTCAATATCCACGCCTAGACTTATTGCAAAAAAAAAAATATTGGAATATGCTGATAGTTATTCTATTAGTACGGTATGTGTAGATTTAAACGATTAGAGTTCGTGATTATATCTCAGGATGTTGTGGCTTGATATTCTAGTAACAGGAACTCGACTTGTCTAAGTCAACAAATCGATGCTTTTAGAATCGACAAAACAAAATGAAGACAAAAATTTATATTTTCATATCGTAAGCTTTATTATTTCTCTTGTCATAATAGTTAGATGGAGTTTGCTTTCTCCACAATCCAGGAGTGGTAGGTGGGGACATCGGTATAAACACCGGGGTAGCGAGCGGCAGCACAGCCATAGCCCCATGAAACAACACCAACAAGTACACCACCGGATACCAATGGACCACCGGAATCGCCTTGGCAGGCATCCTTACCAATGGCAGCAGCGCAGACCATGCCGGGTTTAACTTCAGAACCATACCTGAATGAGCTGGAGGCACATCTGCTGCGATCGATGATATCTACGCCGACATATTGCAATTGTCTGGGAATACTACGTGAGCCAGATGAGAGTGTACCCCAACCGGATACTACTGCAGATGCGCCAGAGGGGGGTGTGATGGTAGCCAAACCAATAGCCCTAGTGGTCGAGCTGAATGACAGAGAGGAGGCTAGCTTGATGATGGCAATATCGTTGCTGTAAGTTGATGCGATGTAGCCTTCGTGGGTTTTGAAAAGTAGGAGACAGGGCAGAACACCCGCAGAGTTCCAGTAGGTGGATCGGATCAGGTTCTCAAAATCGAGCACTAACCGATTGCAAGTGATGGTGTGGTCACGATAATGTTACTTATAGATGGGCCACCGCTGAGTGGGAACCGGAACGTTGGGCGATATCTGCCATGGGAATGAGCTTTGATGGTTGTTGGTGTACCACCAACAATACGATCCACTCAAATCGTCCTTCATGACCATACCTTCAGGTATGGTACCAGCCAAAGCACAAGCGACAAAGACGAACACTACGAATTTCAGCATTGCTCCTTCACAGATCGTTGCAAACAACTACCTTTGACCAAAATGGTTAGCTTATTTATACCAACACAATATTTACTGCGAGTATAAGCTCTATAATCAGTAAGTACAGCTAATTGGTGTTGACGTTCATTTTACCAAAATATGTCGTTTCAGTGTGCGCATCCGTGTGCAGATGATTTAAAGAGATATGTATCGGTACTTAGGTAAATTTGTATCATTAGATAGTAGTTAGATAAATTCGTTAACGATAGGCGATCAGCATTGATAAAGACCATTACTTCGATTTGAACAAAATTTTACTGCATACTAATGTAGAATGCTTTGTTTTTCAGAGTAATAAAATAATACTTCTATTTGGTGGTTATTTATAATTTTACAACAAATTTGGAAGTTCCATACTAATATTTAGATTTCACTATTAATAGGCAATGTTTACCGAAACTTACGTTTGCCCGTTTACATGCAAACCTTCATTATCAATCCCTACGATTTTAATTGAC